GTAGGCGTGGCCTATGCATCTGGCCCATGGGCCACCAGTTTGACACCCCTGAAAAGCATGCAATGTCTCAGAAGGTTTTAAGATTGCTTCCAAAATATGATGTTTAGGTTACCAGTTCTAGAAAGAATCCACCAAAAAAAATGCAAATAAAGCTAAACTATGTCTGCTGAAAGGGAGACGTTTACTCCAGCGTGAAAGAAGGCTTCAAAACCATAAAGCCAAGGTTAAGCTAGAAACTCAGTAAGGTGACTCAATACTGCTTAAGAACTCATTACGTTGGACAACACCAAAAAACACAACATTGGATGAAGAAAAATGGAAGGTATTGAGAGATATAATGCATATAGATCAATGCTCCCACCAAATTTCAAAGCCCTGGAACGTTCTGACTGGAACTCCGTGTGAGGGCCAAACCTTTGATTCAGAAACTCTCAATGAAGAAACCTGGTCCAGTTCCAATCTGTACTCAAAAAGGATTTCACTGACCAACAGTTTAATGCTTCATTCATATTTTTCTTGGCATAAAAAACAAGCTCACAACAAGTATAACCTACTATAGGTGTCTGGGGTAAAAAAAAAGAAGTCAAAATGGGAAATCACATCCAACGATTAAAGGGCAAGACTTCAATTGCAGAGTTAGGACTCCTATTTTTATTTATTTTTTACTCCTTTTCGTGTTCCCCTAAGTATCCTGATTTCATGTTGACTTCCAGCAGAACATAACTATTGTTTTACTTCTTAAAAAGCAATAATTTGTTGAGAAACAAAAGGTATTATATAGCTGTTTCCCCATGCATGTTTGCCTTTTATAAATTCTCATAGTTTTAAAATAATTTACATAACAAATTGTCAGTGAATATTACAATAATATTCTGCATTTCATTTCATATTCAGGAATATGTTTAGAACATTTTTTTCATCTTCTCTTACAGTGGCAGAATATTAATCAGCATTTAATTTTAGATATCTGAAGGTTTTTGAAAAATCTTTCAATTCTACAAAATATCAAAATCTAACTATTTTAGATTTTGTCCAAGACCATCTGAAAATTCCTGCTCTCTCTTTTCAAATGATGAAACAGAATGAGACAGAAAGAAAATACCAACTAATATGAATGGTGTGCATTTGTGTACATATGTGTAAGGGATGCTATGTTGCTGGTGCAAGCAAAGAGGCAGATATTAGGCATATGCGGTTGCCTAATGTAAGAGTATGCCTGAGTACACAAGGGTGTAAATTCTGCCACAGGTCTGTTCTCACAAAGAGGAATTGTTTTCAGTATTAAGTGAACTATATGCTAACTCTCAGTTCCTCAGAGAACCAAGGAGCCAATTGAGAACGGCGCTGGGTCAGAGTCGCAAAGGCACAACGTGATCCAAAGCCCCAGCCCCTCTCCCAGGCCGCCACTAGTTCTTCAGTCGAGTTGTGAGCCAGAGCCTCAGGGATTGGCCCAAGCTCCATCAGGAACCTATCCGGGTCCATCAGGCACCTGAGACGGAACCATCTAACCAGTTCCGTCTCCCTGCGGCGAGGGTTAGCGGTTTGAAAGTCCAGTTGGAGGAGTGAATGATCAGACCATGCCAAGGGCTCGGTGACTAAGTCCCCTATTTCTAGATCATTCTGCCACTGACCAGAGATAAAAATCAGATCCAGAGTGTGTCCCCCCGTGTGTGGGGGGGGCATAAACTAACTGGGTCAGGTCCAAGGCCATCATGGAAGCCATGAACTCCCGAGCCACCATAGACGTTTCACCGACCGATGGCAGGTTGAAATCCCCCATAACCATAAGCCTGGGGGTATCAACCGCCACCCTGGCTATCACGTCAGGCAGCTCGGGTAGGGTCACGGTTGCATAGCAGGGAGCCAGATACACAATCAGCAGGCCCACCTGCACCCCCTGACCCCCTCTTCACAAGGAGGGACTCACATCCGGCTATCTGAGGAACAGTGGCCTCCCTCAGACATAGACTTTCATTAATAATAACCACCACCACCCCGCCCCTTCCCTGAGCCCTTGGCTGATGGAATGCCCGGAAACCTGGCGGGCACACTTCAACAAGGGGCACCCCCCCCTTCCGAGCCCAGCCAGGTCTCCGTAATACCCACCAGGTCTGCACCCCCCTCCTGAATAAGATCGTAAATGAGGGGGGCTTTATTTACCACGGACCTAGTGTTGTACAACATCAGCCGGAGGCTCGGGCCCTGAGGATCTGAACAACCTGGGGAACGAGAAAAGCATTGGGGACCGGAGTGCGCAATCGCTCGAAGATAGCGAGTGTGCACTCCCTGAACATATGGCCCCCTGCTTCTGCCATATCTGCCCCTCCCTCTCACAGTACTGATAGAACAGCCCTCCCTAAGTCGAGCCCCGGCCCCCTCCCTAACATCCGACCCTGTGTCCCTATTGCCACAGCCCCTCGCAGGGCCCGGTCTTGACCCAGATGGATTATCCCCCCAAACCCACCCTGGTCCCCCCCCAAACCCCTTAAAATTTTAATTAAAAACCCACTTTAAAAAACCCTCAGTCTCTTCTTTGCCGCATGCCATTTCTCGGGGTTCTTTTCCCAGTGTGCAATGTTCAAGGATGCTGGATAGGAAGCCACTGAAATCCAGAGATTCCTTCTTATTATACATAGTTTTATTGAACTCAGTGGAACTTTCTTATGATCTGCCATGTACAAGGTCCATCTTATTTATTTAAGATGCAATGACATTCTAGGTTGCTAATAATAATAAAAAGGGCTTATGCCTGTGGTTGTTAATCTCTGGAAGCAAAAATGTGTGAAAAACAGAAGTATTCCTGAGAAATAATCCACCAGTGCTTTGAAATACTACATGGAAGAATAAACTCTCTTGCTTGAAATACTGTACATATGGAAAATTTGGTAGGAGGATTCCATATGGTAATGCCTGAAGTGTCTTATTTGGACCACATTCTTATGTGCTACATTCATGCAATTACTTACACTTGTGATTGAAGAATCCATTGTACAGACTGCCCTGAAGTGTGGACATTTCCTCGTGATTTGTTGGAAGAGGAAAATGAACTCTTAATAATGCAACTATAACAGCTTTGAAAGAAAATGAATGCAGGGTTATCATGGTTTTGGAATTGTCCACTAAGTGTTGGTATATTTTCTGTAAATGCTTATGTACTGGAAACTTTGAACAACAGAGAAAATAACATAACAAAAAACTGAAATAAACAATGAAAAGCTATGAAAAAGTTATCAGGGTTGGTTTGTTTGAAAGATGCATGACTATTAGAGGTTTGTGCACTGCCTAGCACTCAGTCTCCCAAAGTTGCAAGATCTAAACCTCTGGGAGAGCAAATCTGAAGCACTGCCAAGCCGTATTGTCTTAAACTACCTTTTTATCTGTTTTTAAGAGGTGCTGTCTTTGTTTGACAGCTGTGAAGGCTAAATTGGCCAGGTCGTTCTTGTCTCTCCTTTCATTTTAGAGTATATAGGCAGCAGAGTAGCAGTTACATGGGCGTCTGCTGGTCTCTTGTCCCCCCACTTCCTTTTGCTGAAGTGGGGGAACGGGCTATACAATGGGGCCCAGATGCAGCTGGAATCCTGTTGAAATTTCAGGGATATCAATGAAAGAGGCACCATCTTTGGGTGGCAATCTAACAATCCTAGCCTTGAAAAAAGTAGACAGTCATGAGAGAGCTCTTTGTACACATTAGAAATAAATCCATGGGCATTCCATGTTCTGACAGGGGATCCTGAGTTGGATTTGAATTTAAGGTATTTGAAGGACAGAGTCCAAATTGAAATATCCCTCTCCTCTAATAACCCTGCATGCTTAAACAATACTGCTGCTCTTCTGAAAAGAAAAAGAAAAGGCAATCAACTCCATACAGCAGTGATTCCCAACCTTTGCAGCTTGGTGGATCGGGGGTGGGGTGGGGAGAGGAGTACTGGGCCATGTAAATGACAGGCCAGTATGTACGCAAACACTTGCACTATTGCATGAGTGGCAGGCCGGTGTGCACAGCTCAACTTGTGCAAACAGCAGGCTGGTGTGCACATGCAGGAGTGCCTGCTGCTTGTACAAGTTGAGCTATGCGTGAGCACGCACACATGCGCTCCAGCCAGCCAGTCGCGGGGTCCTATTCCCAACAGGCCAAAGCCCGGTAGCGGGCCACAGCCCAGGGGTTGGGGACCCTTGCCATACAACATTTCTTTTCTTCTATTTCTGGAGGGCAAAAGCAACCTGATATTTTGCACTGCTGTTTTAAATTGTTTTATTTAACAGCATCATTAAGCGAAACACAGGACAGAACATTCTACTTTCAATTTAATCACTACTAGATGCAAATTTTATTGCAAAACAACTAGTCCTTTCCCCAGTTGGGCATAATGTAGTGTTTTTAAAGTTTGCTTTCCATATTTTTTTTAATGAACTTCCATCCCATCTACACATATCACCAAGTCAGTCAATGTGGCACTTAGCCTACTGTATTTCTTTCCCTCTTTTTAAATTATAGGCCAAAAATATAAGGAATATGCAATTCAATAAGAAATATGTTTCAGCCTTGTGGTATAGTCTTTCCCTGATCAGCAGAATGGAGAACTTGGTAATACATTAACAATTATTATGAATTAAATAATAAAATATATAATTTTTGCATAATACTGGCTATTGGAATAATTAATTGTCTCACCCCCCCCCCAGACAATTGAGGCAGAAAGGAAGCCTACTCTACCCCCTCAAATAATCCTTTGGGGTGAATGACACCCATTCAGATGTATTAAACTTTTCTGGCATAACTTTTCTGGACTCTATTCAGAATGCAGTATTCATAAAAATGAACAGAAAATCTTTTGAAAACACTATTTAAGCTGTGTGATCAGCAATGGGAAGTTTCAGACTATTGCCCTGGTTTTGTTAAATTTATTTTCCTATATTTAGCTTTTTCTTGAATTATTTCATGCGCATGTAAAGTTAATAGAATTTTGTCAAGGGATGAGAGGGAGATGAAAGAAACTTACCCAGGTGGTATTTTGGGTAACAGTTTGATATTTGGCCAGTACTACATAATGGCTTCTTATTCCTTTTCTTTCTGTTCAGCTCAGTGAACTTGCATTGTGTCTTCTTCATTTTTTTAGGGGTCTCCATTGGGCCATCCTGAAAAGCGGCACGTTTGCTTGACTTCTTGACTTCAGTAAGCAAGCTGGAATGCCTGCTTCTGTTAGAAGCCCCTCTGTTCCTTTCACCATTATCAGCCATGCTCTGCTGAACAGAGGGGGACCTCAAAGGACAACCATTGTTTTCTGGGGAGTAGATGTGGCTGCTGCAATGTTCCATAGATTCTGAAGTACAGATGGCAAAGTTCTTATTAAACACATGCTGTTTATCCACTGGATTAATTTTCTTCAAAAATATTCGACAATCCTTAAAGGTTTGCTCTCTCCATGCACTTTCATTACATTCATTAGGGGCATGTGCTTGTCCAATACTTTGCTGATTGCTGTACATGGATTTACTACTTGGCCTACAGTTTGAGACTGAGTCACACTTTGTGCTGAGGTCAGACAATTGTGCATCTTGTTGAATAAATGCATCTCTGATTTCATTTCCAGTTGCTGAAGTGATTCTGTAAGATTCCAACAAAGTTGTTGGTTGAGTTTCTACTGGGTCATTCTCAAGGCTTGTACATATTTTGTTAAGTTTCCTACTTGAATTAGTCAACCACTGACTTTGGCAGAAGAATCGCAAGTTTTTCTTTTTTGATTTCCAGTCAGATGTTCCATGATTATACAGTTTTTTCACTTGTTGCCATCGATCGTGTTGCAAGTTCTCAAATTTAGTTCTCAATTTAGCTAAGGTGAAGCTATGCTCCTTGCTTAAGACTTGAGATCTGACAATTTTATGTAGAAGCTGCAATTTTCCTGTTGATTTTGAAGGTGTGGACAGTGCAAATTTTTTAAAGTGCTTTCTCAAAGGACTAGTATTACAATCATATTGTCTTGTTCCCATTTTGAACTGCCTTGTACTAATTACTTCAAAAGGATCACGAGCATTTGCTTTTCTGACTAGTGATAGTGATTGTGTTTCTGTTGTTTGCATAAACCATGCACATAGATCATCTATACTGCATTTTTTCTGGAAAAGCATTCTTATAGGTGAATTTTCCAGTTCCAAAATGCAGGAGTCCAAAGGATTTGATACTTCAATGTTACTATCTTGTTCAATATGACATGTTCCATTATATGGCCATTTCTCATATTCTTCTCCATTCACATGCAACCAAGTCTTAGTTATCTGGTCATATCTACTGTTTAGTTCTTTTAACAAAGAATCATTAGAAATAGAAGGATCCCACCATCTAAGGGAATTGGATGAAATTATGGGATCCAAAGTCATTTCACCGACGGATCTGGATTTACTATTCTCAGAACTACTTTTTGCATTGTCTGCCCTTGTACTTATTGAGGTATGTTTGGGTGGCATTTTTGAATGCTTTACTTTGTGATCTTTACCATTTTTCAAGCAGGGTTTACACGGTTTATGCAAAAAGGCACGTTTACAAGAAAATGAGCTAGAAGATGCTAATGAATGTACAAAAGGCAATGATGGTCTTCTAAGAGAGTGTCTCAAATGAGTTTCAGACCTTTTTGAAGCAATGATAATCTTGGGTGAAAAATTCCCTGCTTCATCATTGCGAAGGTTTTTAAAATCATATCTTTTATTGCATTGCTTAGCATCCTTCTTAAATGGTTCATTTCTTTCTGACACAGCTTCTTGCTCTAAGGGAGGCAGGCAGCTGTTGACACACACTTTTCTTTCCTGAGATGAAATCTGATTAATAGTCACTGATATGCCAGATATTTTTACTTTTGCTGGCCTACCAGGTTTTCTAATTATATTTAAAGGCTTTTGGTTTGGTCTGATATTGCTGCAATGAGATGGTAGAACAGGGCTGCTTTCTAGTGGTCTAACATCCTCATAGCCACATTTAGATGCCTTTTCTGTTGTAGAATATTGCATAATTTTAGATTTTGGCAAGTTGTTCCTGGCATCTGAGCTCAGTGTTATTTGATCAGGGTCACATACAACACTGCAGTAGCTGCGAGGTTCTGGTGCAGTTTTAACTATATTTAGGTTACTTTCTGAAACACACCTCTTAATCCTTCGAGACCTTCCAAAAACAACAGTCACTGTAATATTTTTGTAAATGTTCTCTTCCTCTAGGCATTCCATGTTACAGTTGGCATTTTTTGCAACACCAATGGAGTCTTTCCTATGACTACCATTATTACTCACATCAGCTTTTGGTTTGGGAGGTCGTCCAATCGGACGTTTAATTTGTTTTACAACCTGGGGACCAATTTTTTTGGGTCTCCCAGGTTTTCTTTTCAGGGAGGATCCAGTGTTGCCTTGTTCCACAGGTTCTTCCTTAAGCTTAGGATTGGTTACAGTGGCAACTGTTGTAGGAAAACCAGTTCTTATTTTATTTTTATCTGTATTTTCATTATAGCTGCATTTATTAACAGATGCTTTTTCATCAGAATCCTTTGCCTCCAACTGTTTTCCCAACAGCTTATTTGTTTTCTCCTGAAGGGAATAAAGATCTATGTTTAATTTGGATGAATCATTTAGTGTGTACTTGACTCCTTCACTGCTATTAATCTTGGAAAGGAACATAAGTTTTATAGGGCTAGTGTAATTCAATGTTGATGAATTATCCCCCAAATGAGAATTTCCTTGGGAAATTGAGGGTTTCAAAAGTCTTTCATATTCTTCTTCACAAGATACATTTTCTTTTTTGGGCACAAAATCATTTTTGTTGCTACTTCTACCTGTTAAATGACTCTGTGGTAACACATGTTGTCCCTTACTTCCAGTTTCACTCATGCTAATAAGGCCACTTTTAGATTTACTGTTGGCATCAGAATTTTGAAGGTCTTTCATTTTGCCCAATATTTTATAACCATTACACATGGGCTCTGTGGCCTTTTGAGCCATATTCATTGTATCTTCCAAACGCTTTATAACAACATGTAGATTGGTTTTCTGCATAATCTTATTTATATTTTCATTGCTACATGACTTAGCTTGAAAATCTTTGAGAATTTTATCCCCTTCTATGCTAGCAGCAGATTTTGATTTTATGTTTTTCCTTAATAAAAAATTGTTTGCTACATACAAAGAGCACCATCTAGGAGAGAAAATGTTATGTCTGGTTCTTTCCAGGCCTCTATCATAATTTCCTTTCACACCAGCTGGATCCACATGTAGTTCAATTCCACATTGTGTTTTAGCCAAAACCGTTTGAGAGATTGTAGAGCTGTTTGCTGCAAATGTTACAAAATCAGAATTAATTTCTGAGCTGATGAGAGGTAGTTCTATAGTTTCTTCTTGATCTAGTGGCAAAAGCTTTGACTTAGAAGAATATGTCCCATCTTTATTTTCGTAGCCTTGTAAATCAAGCTGTTTTAATGTATTGTATTTGTCATTTTTTGTATATTTTTTAACTTTTCTCTGTGAGATTGCCTTCTTTCTTAAGAAAGTTTCATCAAAGCTAGCCAACTCTCTTTTAATTTGCAAAGACTTTTGTCTAAATAGACATGAATTGGGAAAACTATGCATTGCAAACAAAGTTTCTTGTCGTTTACGAAATCTTGTTTGTATAATTTTATTTTCCACTTGCTTATCATGTTGATTCAGTAATTCTGTAAAATTATAATCATTGGCCTTAGCATCATGTAAGAGAGATGTAATGAAGTTCCGTAATTTAGAATCGGCTTCTATTCTCCCATCACTCTTAAGTAATTTTCCCAATATTTCTGTATCAGTAGTTTTTATTGATTTCAACTTCTCATTGATTCGATCCATTAAATCCTGAAACACATCAGCATTTTCAACCTTTTCAAGCTTATCAGAAATTGTAAGGCTATTTTCTTGATTCACACTTACAATGCCTTCCTGCAGGTTATTGGGCACTTCTGCAAGATATATTTGATCTTTCTCTAGTTCAGCGGGAAACAGTGAAGGAGGCTGGTTACAGGTTTTTTCAGGTCTGTTATCTTCAGCTAATTCCTTCAGAGAATTGTACCCATCAGCTTCCACAGGAGACAATGGAGGTGGTGAAGGGCTGCGCCCTTGGCTACCCTTATTAATTTTTTGCCCTCTTGAAAAGAGGTATGTATACAAATCTGCCCGGGTAGAATAGATTTTACACAGTTGTAGCTGTTTGGGACAACACCCATGAGGATGGCAAAGCAAAGAATTTTCTTTGTTCATCACTGTGTTAACAAAGTCTGGGGTCATTGAGTGGCATGTCAAACAATCCTTATCTGGTCTTACATTTTGTGAACGGCACCTTTTCATCAGCACGTTGTCATCACAACTGAAGCCTGGAATATGAACCTCATCTTCCTCTCTCTCAGAATATTTAGGGTAAGACAGTTGACTACTGCAACCTGAATAACATGATTCTTGGATGAAAAATTTCAACATGGCTAAAGTCTGATGCCAATGATATGAACATAAGGAAGCCAACACCTTGTTTAGAGTAGAGTTTCCTCTTTCCAATTTAGTTGTTTCCTCTAGTTTTGCACCAGCAGCTGTACTTGAACTGAAAACATAAAGCAGATCGAAACAAAAAGTAAATTACAATTAAATATGGAACATATGATAAAACCTAATGAAAATATGGTATCATTCAAAGCTTATAAAAATGTTCTATTTATAAAAACTTCCACTCAATGCATTTTGTAAACACATTGTAAAAGAAAAGGGAAAAAAAACTTAACAAAAAGATTTAGCAAGATGTGTTTTTCCATGTAATGCATTCAGTAGCATCCTGTTTACTATTTTAAGAGCAATTAAAGAAATATTTTTTTAATTCAACATTTAAATAAAGAAATTATGGTTGTGATCCTAACTATATTTTAATCATACACAAATTATATTGAAATCAGCAAGGACTCAGATGTCTTCTGTATAAATTCCACTTTAAAATAAGAAGTCCCATGTATCTTAAAAATACATTTTGGACTACACATATACCCAGCACGGAGATGACATCATATGTGCAAGGCACAATTTTTGTACTTAAGTGTCATATTTATGGAGGAGACTGACAGTTTGTTGAGCAGCCCCTTATTTTTTAATAATGATATTTAGGATTACGGAGGAGTACATATACAAATTAAATGTCATTTGAAGCTTTTCTATGAAAGGTCCAATGGAATAAAAACCAATTCCTTTTTATGAATTTATTTTAGAGGGCAAGTATATAATTAAGCAAATTAGTATATTTAATTCTCTTATTACATTAATGAAAATAAAAATGTGCTTAACTTGATCTACCTACGTGCTTAACTTGATCAATTTCTTTTTAATTGAAAGTAAGCTATCTTCTCAGAGAATCATTTCTTTTTAAGTCTTTGCCACAAATTTATTTCCTTGTCTTTCTCTTGTGTATAATTAGAATTTAACCCAAGTGGACTTCCTAGGACCTTGAGGGACAAGGTTAACAAACTGCAATATATAATGGATACTTTTCTTGTAAACTAAACTATATACAGAGCTCTATTTTATTAATTATTATAATGGCTTTCAGATGGCAGATATATATTTATCTGTATATATTTTAGTTTATAAAAAACTATATACACACAGTGATTACACACACACACACACACACACACACACACCACTATGTGTATAAATATGTGTCTTCCTCTAGAATTATTCAGTGAAGTAAGATATAACTAAGAATTCACCTACAACACCTACTGCTTGAAATATTCCAACTACAAAATATTAAAAATTGTTACTACTTACCAAGTCATTAATTCAAACTGAAAAGTTAATTGTTCACAACAAAAAGTAAATAGTGATTTAAGGGGGGAAATTGCATAATGCAGCCTCAAATATTAATGTCTATCAATACTTTTAAATGTATTAATATACAATTCTGTTTCAGAAAAGTAATGTATTTCAAACAGATCACCAAACTCTGAACATGACACACTATCCCAGCAATAAAGTGCAATCTACTCCAAAATTACAACCATATGATAGTAATATATCAGGTTTCCTGTCTAACCAGTTTAAGAAATGACTGTTTTGATTCCTGCCTTTCTGAAGAAACCAATTAATATGATGCAACATCAATAACATGTCTATGTAAAAGCATATTAAATATCCATTATCTCCAGCTAAATTATCTCAGGCTTCTACCCATTTGGTTGACAAGTCACTGGTAATCTGAGAATTAATAGGCATTAGATGGCTAAATGATGTGATCCTTCCAAGGGCAACTCCATCTACAAAGTATGTAAGTTTCTTTGCAATGGAAGTACTGACCATAAAGAGTTCTGCAAAGCAGGGCTGATGAAACTATTTGGTAACTATACTGTAAGCAAAAGTGATAAATCTTGCTCTTAACTCTGCATGTATAACTATATGTATGTTTAGCCCTGTTCACACAGTATGCAAGCTTTTAGTATGGAAAGTGATATCTCTTCAGTAATCTGTCCCTTCACAATCTTTATTAAGGTTTACTTGCTGATCCCCAGTGCACACATTTAATAGACATGCATATACTATGGTATATATGTACCAACAATTTAAACTTTGTAATCTTTTCCTCTCATATATGATAATAGAAAAATTGTAACATGATTAAATAGAATGTGTTTATTAACATATTTTGTACCATAAAAGTCACATAATTCTGAAGTCCTGGAAACTGAGGCTCAATTGAACTATGCAGTCTGCAAATGAAAATTTATGAACATAATTTAGCATTAATTATAGCATTAGCATTAGTTATAATGCTACAATTCAATTCCTTAAACTTAACAAACCAAGGGCACAATCATGAGGTCTTACTGCACAAAGAAATATGTGGCTGTGCAAAAAAGCAGCACTTTATCTATTAAGTATCTTTCCTGGTATCTAATGTGTCTTACTTTATGGTTCAGTCTGCACTGCCATTTTACCAATAAAATTAGGCTCATAGAGTAAATCAAGTAAGCCAACATGAAGAATTTTCCTTTTACTGAATGACAAATCAATCACACATTAGTGTTGTAAATTTATGTGCAAAAGCATTGAAGTGCTTTACTAAAAATTACAACATAGAAACACATTAACAAATTCATACAATCAGATCTGGAAATACAACAACACAAAGAGGAAACAGAATTACAGTACATGTACAACACAAGACAAATACATGGAATTCATTAGAAAATATTGTAATAAATAATTCATGAATTATAGTGCAATTGATTTATGCATAAATAGAACTAATTGCCTAGATATCAGTTATTAACAAAATCTGTCAAAAATCAAGGCAGCCACAGAGTTTTACTAAATTACTGCAACAATGAAAATACTGCAATTTAAAATAAAAACAAAACACAAATACAAATATTTGTACTGTAAACAACTAAAAAAATCAGTCTCACTAAAGTTATTATACAATTTAATTTAATATAAAATAGTCATTAGCTACCAGAAATGGTTTAATTTACTGAGCAGTAGTTCTAAAAACAGAGGCACTGTTTTTTTCTTTTTAATATAAAATACTTGAGAAACATTCAAATAAGTAGAAAGCAAGAAGGCCTGCTTTCATCTTCATTTAAAAGTCTACTGAAATATGAATTTTCAGAAACTTGTCAATTTCTAAGTAGTGACTGGTAACTGAATCTGAAAAGTAGTTTAAAATTATAATTTAAATAGCCTTTTGAATGGATATAATGGGGCGGATGAGGGGGGGAGTTTATGTATTTCCCTGCCTTTCCTCAGTTGTATAATCAAAGGTTCAGCCTATTCATTACAAATAATTAACATTTCTTTTTAAAACTTACAGGTTGAACATTATCTACAAACTATCAAAAAATATTTTAATATACTATTTCTGGCCAAAAATAAATACAATTACGAAAACGCTGTAAATTAATTATAACATTACATACAAAACTACCACAGTTAAAGTCAATAGCAAAATGATCCCTGATTTTATGAATCCTGTTACTTTTTGGTCAGGCCACCATTTAAATGATATTAAAAGAGTACTGCAATTTGTCTTTGATATAGACATGAATTTAATATTGTCTAAAACATTTAAAAAACAGACTGGGGACAAACAAGTCCCAGTCTTGAATGGGTGTATTCTTCTTCCTTCCCTGCTCATCCTATCCTTATCTCATACCCTGGGGAAGTAAGGAGTTGTAACAGGAGGTTGGATGTAAAAGCTCTGTATCCCAAGTCCACACATCAAGCAATGAACCATAGGTCCTAGCAGTCCTCCAAATAAACCTGAAATCTTGTTTTCTATTGGGGAAATATATTATTAATGAATAATCTTAATCCTGATGAACATATGGCTTAGTTCTTTAAAATTAAGGATGACTTTGACAAATGTTAATCTCATCTGTGGTATGACTTTTAATTTTTTAGTTTGTTTCCCATGCAGTTGAGCTGAAGAAAATTCAGCACAGATCATATAAATTCTCAATCAACTGATTACATGGTTGTGTTGTAAGTAACCCCAACTTATTAGGGGTCAAATCTCTTCCTAGTCTACTCTGAAATTACCAAATTGAATGACATTTTCAAAAAGTATCAAATGTGAATATACTATAGACAGTACAATTCACAGAATTTAAATAATGAACTCTTATATTAAGTGTGAGTGAAACATATTCAGTCATCCATATATGGGAAAAATAACAATTTTGGAAATATTAATTTTCCCCATAAAAATCTAATTTTTTCAATGAAAAATTGATGTCTTCATTCATATGCAGAAATGGTAGGAAATTATAAAGTTATGTAATATATAAAATCAAATGAGTATGGTCCTTCTAGTAAGCAATTGCTTACCCACAGTGAAACTGCTGTAGAGCTCCAGAGAAATTTACTCCTCCCTTTGCTCCCTAACTAAAGATGCATTGAGGCGTATGATCAATCAATCAATCACTCAATCAATCAATTGATCAATCAGTAAGTAATTGCAAGTTTTTGAATTCCCACCCTGATAGATATTTGATAAAGATAACACAAATGCCAGAGCTTATATAATTTTAGTAAGTAGTGCAATTGCCTAGGAATACAAGAAAAGCATGCAAACTTTTTAATCCCCTTAAAGCTCAGAGGTCTGTTAGCACATTTGTAAGGTGAGCACATTTCTTTGTGAACCCTACTGGATTTTTTCTGTGAGAAGGATCATTTCCAATTATGAGTAATCTGAAGATCATTCAAAAACTGTAATATAAAGAACTGTCCTCTGAGGTATATTATATTATATTATATTATATTATATTATATTATATTATATTAATTATATTAATTATATTATATTATATTATATTATATTATATTATATTATATTATGTATATATATCTCCTCAAAAGACAGTTCTTATATTATAAAATAAATAAAATCCAGCTTCCAAATAGTAAATATACAAAGAATTTCTAGTACTGAAAATTCAAAACAGTTTTTACTGTTTTTTAAATCGGTAATTCTATCAAGACCCTGAACTGCAAGATTTGGTTATTAGCAAAATAATGATGTGTCGGCCCACCAAAATGAAAACCTGATATTCATTTTGATAAACTGAAAAAGGTTTGAAATGTCACAGCAGCGAAAACGTTACTGTTATTGTGAGGTTTTTCAATAGGAGTGTTAAACAATCCTTAAATAAATGTAAGTAGTCATAAAACCAACTAACTACCAGTACACTTAAATCAATATAACCATTTTCAAGCTCATTCTGTGCACATTATGAAACATGCTCTAATATGCATTCCAACTTTTCTCTTCAACCCTTATGTTAGCTTATTTTCCATACTAAAGGAAAACCATTTTATGTATGCCTTTAGTATTCCATCTCATTTCATAGTTATTCTATAGCTACAACTAAATTTGTCAGTTTTTACAAGCATATATTTTGTAAACACCAATTTCTTGCTAAACCAACAATAACATTTTAATAAACCAGTTTTGTTGCTAACACGCTTTTAAAAATGAAATATTTACTTTATATCCAATGTTACGCTCTAATGTACTTTCTTTTCCAATGTCTGGTTTTAACTAATACTTCATATCAGTTTCCACATTAAGAAACTAGAACTGTCCTCTTCTCTTGATTTGCTTATTTTCAGTCGTGAGAAACTTCTGAAAATATTTTGAGAGGATAAATGCCCTAAAAGCACAAATCATGTATTTCCTTAATAGGATGGATTACTTAGCTAGGGTCAATCTTCACCAGTAAAAAGTAATATTTCACATGACAAATAGAAGTTCCCAACATTTTATGCTGACAACTAAATAAAACCTGAATCCTTTTCACTTATTTGTACAAGGATTATATTAAATGCAAACTATCACAATTGTGATCAATTCTATCATATTGTCCACAGTGAAAACCCTGAATAAGATTATTCTTCAAAAAGGCATGTATGTGGTTTCTGAACTGCAAAATTTCATTTCTTCTAAGTGAACATGTTTCTCCTGCATATATGCTTACACCTGCACACGCGCACACACATGTACACTCACACACACACACACACACACACACACACACACACACAGAGTGTTTCTAACAAATTAACTACATAGGCTTGCTGCTGTTTTTGCAGGTGCCAGTCCCTGAATCAGTGATATTAAACATCCCAGTGTCTGGTAATCGGAGCTTCTTCTTCGGAGGTGTCTTCAGAGTTCCAGATCTCTCTTTAACTTTGTATTCTAAAGTGCTGTGAGGTACCCCATAGATCCCTTGTGCTTTGGAAACGCTCATTTTCCCGCTCATTACCATTGCAATAGCTTCCTCCATTATTTCATGATCATATTGCCGGTAGCGACCACGTTTTTTCCTTGGTTGTTTATTATCCTTACGGTCTAAGCCGTCTTCTGTGGATTCGGAGGTGCCATCAACAATGCCGTTCTTAGTATTAAGACACAAAGGAGAGAGGTCCCCATGCAGAAAATAGGTGTCCAGACTTGAAGGAGTTACAGATGAAGAACATTCCACTTTGCTCTGTTTGGGGAATATAGTTTTCAGTTTTTGAAGAGCTGATCCTTCTAAGACTGATGAGGTTTTGGAAACATGGTACATGACATCCAGAAGTCCAGCATTCTCATGCTGTTTGGGAACAGCACTCATCCTCAGCTGAGGAATTTTTAATTGCACAGCTGGAGCTGACATTTCATATTGTACACTTTCATTTTTTTCTTTAAACTGAGTGACCATTCTTTGCAAAGTTAATTGGTGGAGGTAATTGGAAGCTGTTGGGAATCTTAATTCTGAGGTTTCAAGTAGACTAAGTTTATTTTTTTCTGTGCACTCTGCTTGAGCTTTTGCCCACAAGGCTACTTTTTGCAGCACGGCACAGGGCTCTGGACTGTCCTTGTAAGAACAGATGTCCTTGAAATCTCGAGTTTTGTTTTTAAAGAGTGCAGGGTTTCCTGCTGGTAAGGCTTCTAAGTGGAGAAGTAAAGTTTTTTGAGGTATGCCATAAAGGATGCCTGCTTTATTAATGTCCAGTGCTCCAGACTGAACGTCTTTCAAGGCTTTTGAGAGCAAACCATCTGCAAACTCAGCACTTCTTTCCACAAAGTCCTCTCTGTTTCTGTGGAGTCTCCTGGATGGATGGAATGAAACGATGGTGAACTGATGCATGAGAGACTCTCACACAGCTATGGAAGGGAAGGGTCCACTCCTTTATTATACTCCTTGCTTAGGTAACATCACTGCTTCTGACACTTTTAAGGCTTTGAGTTGTGGTAGCTATTGATTACCATAGCAAATGTTAGAGTTCTGGTAGGACCATGTGAGAAAATGATAGCCCAGCTTCTAGAGCAGCCCTTCCAAGAACTTTAAATCCTAGCTCAGGATTTGGTAACTTTGTCATCTGTTTTCAATTCCCTTTTGACAAATGCTCGCAGAGTAACACTTAAAACTTCTTTTTTCACAATCTAACATCCACTGAATGTCCCCATCCTAAAGGAATTTTGTTAGTAGAAACGTGACGTTACCGCTAAACAAGTAATAAAAGAGTCAACCCCTTATAGAAACGTTGTTTATAACTATTAAAAAGAACCTTAACATATCCAGTTTTTGTAAAAATGCAATTAAAAGTCCTAAAACTACTTCTAATTTCTAGTAAAGTTAGAAATGTGTGTGACTAGTAAGGGGACAGGGAGATAGAAAGAAAGATATGTAATGCAAGCAGTTTTTCTGGGTTTTTTTTTTCCAAAGGAATAACTCTATTACACAAATGATAAGTGACTGTTATGACTGGAAAGATGTCAGAATTATAACATGTTACTTCAATGTAATTTCAGTAAATATTTATTACAGCAGCATATTAACCATTCATAAATGGTATCTTGGTAGCATGACATCACATACCATAGTAAAATAAAAATGCAAGAGCACTCTCTTTTTGGGGTACTAAAATTGTAGTTCCTTTAATTTTCTTCTAACATCCAAAATCTATTAAAATGTAAAATATTTTTCTTTTTCCAATGGTTTAAATTCATATCAGATAGATTTGATTCTATTACTTAGTTTCCTAATTGCATTATGTACATAAGCATTTTTTTTTTAGGAACATGAACTAAAGTTTGGTGATTGTTCTGATAACTTTTCTTTAACAGAAAAAAGTGAAAAACACAAAATGAATTATATGAGTTATACACAAACATACAATTATGAGTGAAACCCTGGCATAAGCAAAGAAGAAGAGTCAAATGTATCAACATACATTTTATATAAGTCAATTACAAAATAAATCTTCACGTTTGTCTTACTTCCACCTACTCCCTTTAAAATAAAGCAGAATAATGCTTATTATGCTTACCCAGACAATGAATTTTCAGAACATGACCCATCATACTGTGACTGTTCCAAGTTTGTTTTCTTCGTAGAGAGATCTAGCACTCCATCCCCTATTATAAAAATGAAGCATGAAAGAGTAAAAAACATATACTATTATAACAACAAAATGAAAAAGAGCAACTACTAAGATACTCTCATGCTATACATCAATTTCTGTTATTAATCTTTATGTCTTGTGCTGTGCAACTCAAGGATGATGAGAGTACTATTATTGCAAACACCCATTACTTTTAAAAAAAAAATTCAGTTGGTCTCTGAAACCTGCAGGTGCCTGCGAATGTTACCCTTTTGATTTTTTAAATACTTGCTAGTAGCAAGACAGCACTAAGTATATAAACCCTATCCAGCAGAATCACATTGTGGAGTCTGAATTAGATTAGAACAGTATTGTGCTATTTTTCAACAGTTCCCAATATTAAAAAACATCTGGACAATAAAATCAATTCCAGGATTTAAAAATTAAAAAGATTTAAAAATTGTAATTGTGGGAATATTCCAACAGGGAAATATTTCAAAATGTAATGTTCATCTAATGTGGAACAACGTATCATAGAACAGAAGCACTGAGAAATATAAGTGTAACTAGATATCTTTCACAATCACCAGCAAACTCAGATTGAACAATAGGCACAAAATAAAAATGTCTCTTTACTACCACAAGATCTATTATCCAATTGTGCAGAGATCCTTACAAAAAAATCCCATAGCTGAGAATTGTATATATTTCTTATTTTTCAAAGTGGCTCTTTGGTGAAGAAGATGATAACTTAATTTCAAGAAGATTTACTTAAGCAGAAAATTTAAAAAATCTCAGTAAAATGTCAGGTATTAATAATGAATTAGAATCTTGTATTAAGTCACAGTTTAATAAGTTTCCATCATTGTTAATTCCTGGTATTACCAAAAGAAAACTGAAGGAAAAAGTAATCCACACATTACGACAGTTCACTTAGCAACTGTTCGAAGTCACAACTTACCACCCCCCCCCCCCGTACTTACAAACCAGTTCCGAAATTACGAATGTTGTAGCACCGTGGCTATTGTTCACACTTAGGAACAACAACAGAGGCGCTGCAACATTTGCCCTGCCTATTCCACCACACCAGGCCGGGTTTTCATAGGAACTTCTCCTCTTGAGACTCACTTACCTTGCAAAGATCTGTCATGGTTTCTTTGCCTGCTTCGTTGCTTCAGGCCTTCAGTGCATTCACAGAGAACAGAGGCCTAACGTACCACAAGATCAGGCAAGATCAGTAGCGCAAGATCTCATGCTATTGATCTTGTGTAATCTCACACTATTTTAAGCCTCTGTTCTCTGTGAATTGAGGCCTGAATGTTTGCAAATAGAGGGAAAACTTAGGTCCTTCAGGCCTTCCCTCGGTTTCCCATTTCCTTACCAAAGTCTACAGGGAAATTACATTCCTGTAAGCTTTGGCAACCCTTTGCAAAATGCCTTTATTGGCACCACCACCATCCCTCCGAAGGTCTGTTCCTATCAGCAAAGGCTTTTTACAAAGGGCTGCTGAAGCCTACAGGGATGCAATCTTCAAGCGCTTTGCCGAGAGAAACGAGGCACAGAGGAGGGGTGCGTGTATCTCTGAGCTTCCTTTCTCATTGCCGAAGGCTACTTGAAGTGTTGCCGAAGGCCTCCTCAAGCACTTTGGCAACAAGAAAGGCAGCCTAGAGAGGCATGCACATCCCTCCAGGCCTTTTTCATCGATGAAGGCCTCCTCAGGTATCACCAAAGGCCTCCTCAAGTGCTTTGGCGGCAATAAAGAAGGCCTGGAGGAGCGTGTGCATCCCTCTGGGCCTCCTTTTTCATCACCAAAGGCCTCCTCAAGCATCACCGAAGGCTGCCTCAAGTGCTTTGTCAATGAGGAAGGAGGGAGCAGGCAAAGAAACAGAGAGGCTGGAGAGGAGACAGATCTTCATAAGATAAGTGACCCAGCATGGCAGAATGGGGGGGGAGCACTTGTGGGGACCCCAGAGGAAGGAGAATGAGGTATCTCAGTTGGTCAGGGGAGGTCTTGGTTGGTCTAAAGCAGGTGGCCTGTTCTATCGCTAGGCCCCCTTGGCCTTCCCCACCCTGAAATACCTCATGTGCAGTTAACGATCCGTGCATTCGATTAGCGAATGCATGGGCGAAAGGAGGGAGTGATTGTGGCCAGGTCACTCCTACGAATCCTTGGGTTATGAATGTAATTGACAGGCTGCATTACATTCGTTACTCAAGGATTACTGTAATTTCTGCAATATAGCAGAAACAAAGATTTTTTCTGCAACAGATTTCATTTCTCCTTTGATGGAAATGAACATTGACTGAAGAGTACTTTGTTTCTATGTTTCCTATTTTTTTCAGACAATTAGAAAACAGAATGAAAATTTAACAGTGTGTTCATGTGTGTATATGGTCCAAAACAATTTAAAATTATAATCATTTTTTTTAAAAAAATTGATTTATATGCCGCCCTTCTCCAGAGACTCAGGGTGGCTTACAAGGTGTTAAGCAATATGCCAAGAATTTAAATCATTCTTCACATAATTTCAGTTAAATAAGATGTACAATTTAAATAACTCCTAGTCTAATATATCCCATTAAATCACAATATTAATGCTAGCTAACAGTTTTTTACAACTTATTTTACATATGATTAGGCATTAAAGTCTAATTTGATTATGAATTTTAACTTTGACCACAATTTTTAAAAAATAATTAAAATAGGATTCAAACTCAACTAACATAAAAGATATACACTATGTAAGATGTTTGGATTCAAGGGCAGTTCTGGGTTGTACAATTTGCCTTCTTCCTCAGCTTTTTCCTTATATTACCTACTGAACATATTCATCCTTTTCAGCTATATTAAGATGTGAAGTTGCATATTTTTTCTGTATGCTTTTCTACACTAAGAGAATGCATGTATTTTTACTTATAATATGTATTTTTACCTTTTCTTTCAAATATACTGCAAAGAAAACTTAACAGAAAAAAATTCAAATGCAGCAGGAAACTGCAAACACAAACTGCTAAAAGCAGTAACATCTATAAAATGGTTATGGTAAGTTTAGAATTTGGGCAGGCACAAATGGAAACAGTTGAATTAAAAGGTATTCTACTCTTAGGTATGAAATTTATTAAAAGGTTGGAACACTACTAATTTGATCTCAAATACTATTAGTGGTCCAAAAACTCTGCATTAATAAAAAGTACAGGATTTTTTTTAAGGAAATGTATTAGGATTAGTAGACCTCAAAAATCTTGGCTATTTGATGATAACACCAATAGTAGCACTTACAGTAGTTCCAAAACAATAAAGGCATATATGCCTTTACTTTTCAGTAAAGGAGGAGGATGAGCAACAGCTTCTTTTGATGAGCAGCAGATGAGAAGATGCAGTTTGCTGGAATGTTTGTTTTGCTGATCCTTATTTTAAAAAATTCTCAGTAAGATTACAAATAAGGTAAGGTGTTTATTACTCAGGTAGGAAATCTTCTTTGCAACAATACAAATCTACTGACATCAGCAAGATGGAGTCGTTTCATTGAAGCACCCTTCTTAAAACAAAGCTGACTCATAAGACAAGGTGGAATGGTCACTTGGCTGATGGCCACGATACACTAAAAAAATCTGTAGTTTTATTCCAAAGTACATAAAAGAAAAAAAAAACCCAATCTAGTTAAAGCTAGATTAATTACATGAAGTTCTATCATAACATTTCATAATTTGAAAGAAAAACCATTAAAGAAAAAAAATCTATTTTAAATATTCTTTTTTGTATATCGAAAGGAAATGTATACATAAAGTGTTTTCTAGCTATCCCTGAGATGCAAGCTGCTTTAATAAACAAAGATAGTCTGCATCCTCTGACAATGTTTTCAAAATATACTTGAGGAACAAGTTGTAGAAACCTCTATCAAATGCACTCTGCTCATGTTCAATCTGTCAATATTTTCAGCTCACAAGAGATTTAGCTGGAATTAATGGCAGCTACAATATCATAAAGGTCTTATTTTAACAGACATTTGAATATCAAACAATGAATCCCAAAGGATTTGAAAGTACATGCTATCATGTTCCATATTTTATTCAAACATGAGCGATGTTGTCAGAAAATATAAGCATCCCGTATATTCTCAGTAAAACTTTTTTTAGCAACTGAAAGTCCTGTGGCCAAGGTCTTCATGTGTCATGAATTCAGATGATGATGGACTGCAGTAAGCAAAGATATAGGTTGCTAATTCTTATAACACTCTATGACTACCGTGTTTTCCCCAAAATACAACCTATTCAAAAAATAAGGCCTAGCCCGATTTTTTGGGATAGGCCTAATATAAAATAAGCCCTATTGAGGTGGGTGGACATGGCCAGGACAGGAGGCAGCCCTTCCCTTCCCTTCCCTAGTCACCTCAGGGCTGCTTGGCCCCTTAATCAGGGCCCACGGATCAGCTGAGCCGCTCTAGCCGCTGCCTCCAGTAAGGATGGCCACTTTTACTGCCAATTGCGGCCGCAAAAGAAGCCGGAGGCCAAGTGACGCACCCCACACGCCTCGTACCCTCTGTACGTAATGGTGACAGTCACAGCAGGCAATTCCTTCCACAGAACAGCTGCCTCATGGGTGCCACTCCGGCCACTGCCTCCAGCAAGCGTGGCTGCTTTTGCCATCAATTGCGGCCTCAAAAGCAGGAGGCCAAGCAATGTGCCCCACACACCTTGCGCTGGCCTTCTGAAGGGTACTATAGCAGCAGTTATCCACAATTTTTTTACTGTTATTTTGTCCCGACCCAGGTGGCTCAGTATGGTGTTAAAAGTTAACGTTTCAGAAATGTTACCGTAGCTGCAGAGGTTGCCTTGTGCAACGCTCTGCCGCTGCATCTTCGGAGCAAATCTCTGCCTTCCCTGCACAGAATTGCAAGACTGGAAGCTCCAAAGCCATGGAGGGAGCATTTTTGGATGTGCGTCTGTACAGGGCTCCTCTTTGAAAGAACGATCTGTAGGTGATGGTGGTGGTGGTGGTGAGGATTTACTGCACATTGTACTTTCCTGTGCAGCTAAGGTAACATTTATGAACGTTAACTTTTAACATTGTACTGGGCCATGTGGGTCGTGATGAAATAACAGTAAAAAAATTGTGGATAGCTGCTGCTACAGCACTTTTTGGAAGGCCAGTGCGAAAGGCAAAGGGCGCGTCTCCTGCTACAGAAGTGGCTGTGCCTGAGGAGCGCTTTTAGGAGAAAAGGCAAAGATCAGCTTCACCTTGCTCCTTGCCCTCAGCCCCCCTTCAGCTCTCCAAAGGTCTCTCCCAGAACCAAGCTCTGGCGGAGCTCAACCAAGGAAGTGGCCTGCAGGTGTTCAGGAGCAAAGTTGAGGCTGAGAGGAGCCAGGGCAGGGGGAAAGTCCAGTGCCACCCCAGTGGTCTTCTTTCCTTGGAAATGGAGTCTTGGGAGGGGGAAACGGCAGCCCCAGGCAGGGTGAGTATGTTGGTATGTGTATAAAAAGCACAAAGCGAGGGAGCCAGGAGCCGGGGGTTGAAAGAAAATAAGACCCGGTCTTATTTTCGGGGAAACACGGTAGCACCATGGCCGCATTTTCTTCCTTTTTCCTTCTCTGGATGTTTTATCATCTTGCCAAAGGAAGAGTTCCTGAAAAGGGGGATGCTTGCAACCATTTGATGAATCATGAGTGAGAACCCTTATGACAGCCCATTTAGCAGTAGCATTGTATCTCAGTCTTGTAATCAGCCGCTTGCCTCTAAAATTGTTGGCACTGTTCATGAGCAGACATCTAAATGATTCTAACTCCTTGCCAGAAGAGCATCTAGGAAGTCAAGAACCAAATCAAAACTGGTTGTACAATGTTTCCTTTTTATTGTAAAAATAATTTGCCATTTTAGGCAGCAATTGCAGAGTCTGATACAATGGGCTATGAGACTTTGCTGAAGTTGTGTATCAAGGGAGTTAGCAACAGGGCAGGATCTAAGGCTTTGTACAGAAACAAAAGCCTAAATATCAGCTCTTAGCATGAGACCCTCAGGTCAGAAAAAAAGACCCATGCTAACAACCAGAAGTGCAGAAGAAACTTTCATTTCCCAGCAACTCTATTTAGCAAAATGCTGTCCTTGATACTGAAAGTAGCAGACAATCTAGCACCCCATTTCTGGTGTCAGGGGCAGGATATAAACTGCATGCACAATTATTAGGCAAGTGAGTATTTTGACCACATCATCATTTTATGCATATTTTCCACCTTCAAATTGTATAAACCTGAATGCTTAGTGGATATAAGCATATCAGATGACATGTATTTGTGTATGGAGGGAGGATGTGGCCTAAGGAGATCAACAGCCTATATCAAGGTGTGCATAATTATTAGGCAGCTTCTTTTTCTTAGGCAAAATGGGCCAAAAAAGAGATTTAATTGCCTTTGAAAAGTCAAAAATTGTAAAAGGTCTTCCAGAGGGATGCAGCACTCTTGAAATTGCTATGATATTGGGGCATGCTCACAGAATCATCAAATGTTTTGCTGCAAATATTCAACAGGGTTACAAGAAAAACGTTGAGAAAAAAAAAGATGCACATTAACTGCCAAAGATTTGAGAAGAATTAAACATGAATCTACCATTATCCTCCAGTGCTGTCATATTCCAGAACTACAACCTACCTGGAGTGCCCAGAAGTACAAGGTACTCAGTGCTGAGAGACAGGTAAGGAAGGCTGACACTCGACCACCACTGAACAAGACCGTATTTTTTGCTCCATAAGACACACTTTTTTGTCCCCCAAAAGTTGAAATGGCAAGACTGGCCAAGAAATATCTGAAGACAGTCACAAAGGTGCTTTATTTTTATTTTTCTTTCAAGAGGCAACTGGACTTTCTGGTTTTTCTTTGAAGATGTTTTGCTTCTCATCCAAGAAGCTTCGTCAGAGCTGAAGAAGCTTCTTGGATGAGAAGCGAAACGTCTTCAAAGAAAAACCAGAAAGTGCCTGTTGAAAGGAAAAAAAACCACATTTAGGACAATCCCTGGATGACTGGTAATCTCCATAGATGTCTGAAGACAGATTTTTCAAAGGTTTTATGGACTGATGAGATGAGAGTGACTCTTGACGGAACAGATGGATGGGCCAATGGCTGGATCAGTAACGGGTACAGAGCTCCACTTTGACTAAGACACAAGCGGGGGTATTGGTATGGGCTGGTATTATGAAATATGAGCTAGTTGGACCTTTACGGGTTGAAGATGGACTCAAAATCAACTTCAAAACCTATTTCCAGTTTTTAGAAGATACCTTCTTCAAGCAGTGATACAGGAAAAAGTCTGCATCTTTCAAGAAGACTATAATTTTTATGCAGGACAATGTTCCATCGCATCCATCAAAGTACTCCACTGAATGGCTAGCCAATAAAGGCCTTAAAGATCAAAGAATAATGACATGACCCCTTCCTCACCTGACTTAAACCCTATTGAGAACTTGTGGGTCCTTCTTAAACGGGAGCTTTATGGTGAAGGAACACACCTCTCTGAACAATGTTTGGGAGGCTGTGGTTGCTGCTGCAGTTGATCGTCAACAAATCAAGAAACTGTTAAGACTCCATGAATGGAAGGCTTATGACTGTTATTGAGAAGAAGGGTGGCTATATTGGTTACTTTTTTGGGGGAAATGTCAGAAATGTTTATTGGTACACTTTGAATAGTTTGTTTATTATTATCACTTTAACAAATGCAAATAAACAAGTGAGATGAGCATATTTTCATTTTTCATTTAGTTGCATAATAATTCTGCACACCAATAGTTGCCCAATAATTGTGCAGATATTCTCCTAAGAAAGCCAAAAACCTCACTTTTACCTTAATATTCAGGTTTGAGGTTTATTAATATTTTGGATTGACTGAGAGCACTGTAGTTGATCAATAATAAAATTAATCCTCCAAAATACAATGTGTCTAATAATTGTGCACATAGTGTATAGCTAATGAAAGCACTGAAAACAGTAATCACCTCTGCAGGATCTAGTTCCAAAACGTTAGCAATTGTTTTTAACAGAGATTTCATTGCTTCAGCAATTATTTCAAAGTCACAGAAATTATTCACCCCATGGCTAAAATCATCAATCATTTCAACTGCAGATTCAGCGAGCAGAGTGAAAAAATGCTACACTAAATTCATATCCATACGTTCCTGGTTGGCACTAAGTGCAATCTATAGGTATTCAAAACAGATTTTCTAGTCTCAAGTCTAATCTAACAGCAATACCAAAATTTTCAACACTGCTTTCAGATACATTATACATTCATCTTCAACAATATCAAATGAACAACTCAAAAGGATTACCTTGCTGAGTATCCTGTGTTCGATTCACAGTGAGGTCTAGAGGGCTATCTTGTTCTTCCTGAAGTGGATTTTCGGTTTGGTTCATTTGGAAATCTTTACATATCAGACTCATTTCATATGACGAACCGTTTCGATTTTCTTGCAGTTTACTATTTTTTGAAATATATTCAATTGCAAATTGACGGATCATCTTTTTCATTAATTCCTGAGCAACTAGGGGAATGTTAGGATCACAGTTCTGAGGAAGATCTGTGGGAAGAAAAGAGTACCATTCACATACACATTAAAATATATTCCAGCATACCTTTAACAACGCAGAATAACAAAAGGGACCTCGGAGGTCTCCTGGTCCAACCCCGTGCTTAAACAGGAGACCCTATACTATTTCAGACAAATGGCTGTCCAGTCTCTTTGTAAAAGCCTCCTGTAACGGAGCACCCACAATCTCTGAAGATAAGCCATTCCATTGGTTTATTGTTCTCACTGTCAGGAAATTTCTCCTTAGTTCAAGTTTGCGTCTCTCCTTGGTTAGTTTCATCCATTGCTTCTTGTCTTGCCCTCTGGTGCTTTGGAAAATCAGGTGGACCCCCTCTTCTTTGTGGCAGCCCCTCAAATATTGGAACAGTGCTATCATGTCACCCCTAGTCCTTCTTTTCACTACTAGACATACCTAATCCTGCAACTGTTCTTCATATGTTTTAGCAGGTCTAGCGCAGACATCTTGGCACAGCCATCTCGCCATCACCAAGTTGCCTCTGCCAATTTACTACTGTCAAGTCGTCGCAGGACAAATCAACACAGCCAATTCGCCATGGGGACAGCTCACCGTGGGCAGCTGGAGGGAGAGCCAGGCGAGCAGGCGAGCGCGCAGAGCGATGGCTAGGAGCTTCCCACAGAGGGAGAGCTGAGCAAGCAGGTGGGCATTGCAAAGCGCAGCTGGGGATTGTCTATTTTCACACCCTCTGTCACTGCTGCCAAGGGCCATTTGGCAGCAACAGCAGTGATTGGATCATTCAGGGGCGGTGGGCAAGGGGGGCAGCAGGGGGGCAGTGGAGGCTGGACATATCTCATTTTCACACACCCTCATTGCACCAAGTTCAACCATTTGCTCGAGTTCGGTACAGTGGCAGCAGTGAACTGTGTCTCTGCCACCTCTCCTGGTAGCCCTCGTCTCTTAGCCCCAAATGTTTGCCCATTTCAGCTTGGTGATACACCAGCAAGTATTTCATTGCATCTGAATGATAATTTATTCCATATGAAAGAGCCAAATTAACATAGATGTAACTGTTTTACTGCATCAAATTCAGAAGAAGCTTCTTTGGATATTTTATTGTTTTGGTTTTTTTTTACAACTGAAAGAACATAGATAGTTCTTTGTGCAAATCTCCATCAATGCATTCTGAATTATTCCTATAATTCCTTTTGTGCTTTTCAGGACCATTCACAAAAAGCAAAACAAAAATAACACAAGAGCTAATTTCATCAACAATTAAAGCACTGCATGCCAAAAAGAGCTTACTTTTCAGCCTATCAAGCAACTTGCATTATTGCAGAAAACCACAAGGAGTAGAGGAGTCCAATTAAACGTCTGTGGAGTCCAGCTGAAAAGTTCCTACTGTATTAGAAGTGGCTACTTTTTGGAGGGTTATTTTTTCTTGTAAATATACCACAGAGTACAGGTAATTCTTGTTTACCAACTGCCTTGTTTAGAGACCATTTGAAGTCACAATAGCATTAAATAAATAAATAAAACTAGTTTTGCAACCAATTTTCCCAATTCGTTGCTTCCCAACGAGTTTGTGACAATTAAGTTAATGGAGAACAGTTCTAGACATGAAAGTTGTCTGGGTGACCTTGGGCCAGACATTGTCTCTCAGCCCAACCCATCTTACAGGGTTGTTATTGTAGGGAAAATAGGAGGAGGAATGAATATTATCTATGTTCGCCCTTACTTACAAGGTAATAAAGGTAGGATAAAAATCTAACAAAATAAATAAATAAAGTGAAATTGTAAGTTGCAGTTACGCAATGTTTTGCCTACAACTATAGTGACTCTCTTAATGATTAAATGGGAAGTGAGATTGCAAGCCTATCGTGATATTATTTTTTGTTTGCCAACTGCGAAATTTAGCTCTACAATTACTGGTCCCTCTTAAGGTTGCTAAACAAGGACTACCTGTGTATCTTATATATATCATAAAACAGTGTCTCCCCAACCATTTGGGCACCAGGGACCAGTGGCTTTGCTTGTTTGCACGGACCAGTTTCTGGCACCCAGTCTGCAGCCCAGGGGTTGGAGATCCCTGGCATAGAGTATAAAAATAAAACTTTGGAACTAAGAATTTGACTTCAGTTATGGCAAATAGGAATATTACCTGTTTGCCATAAAAAATGTAGCTCAAAGTATTTCAACTCAGTTTTAAGTCTTGATATCTTTTCATGATAAAATTGCATTAATTCTATGCTTCTTTTATTTAAAATCATTTTCCATTTTTCTCCTACCAAAACATTTTGCAAACTATGAAGAAAACAAACCAGCTGACATTGTAACAGAATGTAAAAAATTACATAGAGTTGGTAAATTAACATAAATTAACCATATAACATGACATTTGAAATATAAAATTCCTGGGCAAATACATAGGGTTGTTTTCTGGTGCTAAAAAGAATATAATGTTACACCTCTGAACCTCCAAGGGCAGAAGGTATTAGCATTTGAGTTTGAGATGCTTGTTATGCAAAAATAAATATGGAAAATATTCTGTATAATCTATGAGTAAAAGCCCTATAAATGTTCTATGTCCTTTTCCTAATGATTTATACAGAGTTGGTTTTATTTTTTTTGCCCCATGTTCTATGAAATTAATTCCAAAGGCATTTATATATAAAAAATAAAACCACAAAAAGAACCTAACCAGCCGACTCCTAATAGTGCATGCAGTATGCAATTAAATTTAAATACTCTTCTGAGTATTTGTGTTCATACATTACCTTTGGTTTTTTTAAAACATGCAAAGAAGGAACTGTTTTAAGAAGAAATTGTCAACCTTAAAATGTGGATTTTTAAGATTCAGTTAATTTAATGTTGCTTGACTTAACAACTCAAGCTCAATAAAGGACCCTGCATCGCAAAGTTAAAAGAGAAACAAGTTTATATACCAAACCAGATTTGCGGACAGAATACTCATTTCATACCTCCTCACCAGGGGTGAAATCTAAAATTTGTTATTACTGGTTATGTGGGCGTGGCTTGGTGGGGGTGGTGGTAATGTGACTGGGTAGGCGTGGCCAATTTCTTTTTTTTACTTTTTAAACCATTTTTTTCTACAACCTCTTTGGCTAAGAGGTTGTAAAAAAATGTTTTCAAAAGGCTCTGAGGATCCAAGCTGAGTTCCCTGAGGCTTTAAAAAGCCTCTGCCGATCAGGGAACTCAGCTGGGATTCTCAGAGCATTTAAAAGAAAAAAACCCTTGTTTTCTTTTAAATGCCTTTGATGAGCCGCACGATCATCAGAGGCTTTTTTTTTTACTTTTAAAAGCATTTTTTCGGCCGAAGTTGTAGAAAAAATGCTTTTAAAAGTTAAAAAAAAAGCCTCTGATGATGGGGGGGCTCAGCTGGGCATGGGGGGGGGGGGTGTGGGGATTTTTGCTACCCGTTCTCCGAACCACCCGCCTCCATCGCTACCAGATTGTGTGATCCGGTCCGAACCGGGAGCATTTCACCCCTGCTCCTCACCTTCAAACACTAATCATTACCCCCCAAAAATGAATCTTTTTCTTTGTGGGATAATTTAAAACGACTGTCTCTAAAACTGGATGCATGCTTCCTGCAAGTATTCTGTGAGGTAGGGATACAGATTTCTTGCAAATTTTCCTTCACTGCGTTCCAAAATATTATGTGCAGCACATGAGCATGGAAAGATGTAGAATATTATACTAAACTGGTGCTCAGTTTAAATTACTTGAAATGTTACAAGATTTTTAAAAATTGGAAAATAAATCAGTTTTTCTTTCTTTAAAAATTAATTTCCTCATAAACTAAATGCATACGAAGAGCTCAACTAGAGAAAAGTTATTTCAACTGCAAAATACCTTACAGAAATTAAACTAGAGCTAAAGAAGAAAGATTTTTTTAAAAAAAGAAAAAAAAGTTAAATTTTATGTAGAATTTCTGCTGAGCATTATATAGCACAATATGAAGTCAAGTCTTACCTTCCTTACGAAAGAGTGCATTTAGATAATTCTCTGCTTGGCACTCAATTTTATCAGTGTTGGACTGGCCCTGAGACGCCTCCTCTGTAGGCGTTGACTGCAAAGAACCAAGAACCATTGAGGGATCCTAAAATGAATACAGAACTCTCAATTTTCTAAGTAAAAGCAAATCTTAATAGAGGTGAGCAAGAAAAAAGTTCCATTATACTGTATATTTATCAATGTTTTATATAGCATAATAGTTTAAATAACATTGGAAATTTGGACAAAATGTGTGTCAAGAGTTAAAAGATCATATACTCACGCTGACTATTTCTTTATGCAAATTACAAAAGGAACATTTTTCATCCATAGACCAGTCAGTTACTTCTTCTGGTTCACAGTCTGGAGAAGAGGAAGAGAGAGGATGACAAAAATTAAATATCATTCCAACACCTAAACTGTAACCACAACTTCAAATTTGCTTCCCTGCCAAAAATGAGCCAAGCAGGAGATGTTTTAGATCCTCTGACTAAGAAACTGGATGCTAGATCAGGATAAACATAGTTCTGCTCAAAATTTCAGATCATTCTTATTCAAATACAAGGCCAATTTATCTTCATAAGACAGTGAGCACCTACAAGTAGACTAGCTCATAAGATAAACTATAATAGACTAAAAGAACGTAAGAACTATCATTCCATGTGCTAACACAAATGCAAGGTCCTCTGCACACCGTCTTACTGTTACAGTAAATTGATTTATTTCACTTTTCTATGCTTAGTAAATAATAGATTTTCCTTGTCATTAAGATCTTATTTCCTTCTCCAACTTTAGTAGGAAGGTTTTAGGACTTTTCAATTATCCTAGATTATGTTTTCTATAAATTTGCTTCTTGGTGGATTCTGCATATATTGCTTGAAAAATAATTGCCTTGACAGAAGCTATCTAGCTATTTGATTCCTGAGAAGGGGTAATGATCTGCTTCACTAACTTTGCCTAATGCTCTGGTCCTCCATCACAAATCTCTCCATATACTACCATGTTTCCCCAAGAATAAGACCCTGTCTTATACTTTTTTGAACCCTGAAATAAGCGCTTGGCCTTATTGCCATGTGCTCAAAAGCCCAATTGGGCTTATTATCAGGGATGTCTTTTTGGGGGGAAACAGGGTAATAACATACATGTTTAGGGCTTTTTTAAAACAACAACAACACTGTCAGAAATGCAGCTTTAATTTCTGTGAAAAGAGTTCCTGGTGTCCTACATTAACTCTTTCTAGAAAATAAAGAACCTTTATTAAATTGAATTGAACTGAATTGCTGCCCATCATCAAATACATGATTCTGGATAACAAATCTTACAATTGTATCATACTATGGAGATAGCAACATCCTGAGAATGTTCTATACAAAGAGTCTCGCCACATCTAAAGGTATGTCACTGATTCCATCGGGTTTGGGTGTACAATTAAAGTGTACAAATTCACTTCTAAACTTATTTTTATGTACAGTGAATATATTACCATGGGATTACAAGTTTAAAAGTGTCTCCCATTCCAATAAAGTACTGTTGCATCTTGTAACAAGTGTCTCCCATTCCAATAAAGTACTGTTGCATCTTGTAACTTAAATGATCTTTTCATTGACAATATTGGCTTAGGTTGCCTTTATTACTTTTTTATATTGCCATCTCCAACGATTCTTGGTAGTTAACAATGCTAACATCAAAAACTCAACAATACATTTGACTAATACTATTAGAATTATCCACCTCCTCCTTTAATCCAAATGTGTTAGTTCATAAAGGTGCTCCCCTTCCATTCAATTCAATCCTTTAAAACAGGGGTTTCCAACCCCCAGTCTGTGGATCGGTACCAGGCTGTAGCATGCCAGAAACCATCCCGCACAAACAAGCAAAGCCCCATCTGCGGGATGCAGGCAGCATATGAAACCACATCCCCTCCGGTCCATGAAAAAACCTCTCTCCATGGAACCGGTCCCAGGTGCCCAAAAGTTTGGGGGCCGCTGCTTTAAAACATCTAAACTGAAGAATCATTACTTCACGCTAAACCATGGTTAATGTTATAGGAATACCCAGAATCTCAGATAGGTCAACTGGCATGGCCAAAGAATTCTCAGCTTCTATAAGAGAACAACTGCAGGTTGAAGGAATATTTAAACATTAAACAGTAATTAATTTTAATTGTAATTGTTGAAACAAGAAGCTCCATTAATTATGACTTGAATTTTGGCTGATCATGTTCTGATGGCAGAATAAGCTGGGGATTTCTAACTCTTTCTCAGCTCAACCTATTTCACAAAGTTGCTATTATGAGAAAAACAGGTGGAGGAGTTTTATGTATCCCATCTGGAGCTCCTAAATGAAAGGTAGGATAGAACTGTAATAAAAAAAATTAATAAAAACTGAAGTAGAAATTTCAAAACTCCTATTTGTTGAAGTGAGGGAGCATATGGGCAAAAGGTTATACTGCAACACAAATATCTTTTAACTAACCCAATGGATTTAACTGGACTTCTGATTGCAGTAATTCTAAGGTACATACTAAAGCCAAAGGAATTCATTACAGTCTATTCCAACAACTATTTTTTTTTTAAAAAAAAAAACGTATACAGTGGTTAAGAAATCTATGGTACAGTGTCACACTAGCAAATCTCACATGTCCATTAGTATGACCTTAATTATGAAAACATAAATGTCATTGTATTGTAATTAGTTCTGATGGAATATGTATGATACACTTTGCTATTTTAAGTATTTATGATACTAAGCATTATGCCAAATTTTCAATTGATCATAATCCAGCTAAAATAAAAATCTCAAAACTGTAAATTAACAAGACATATTTATATCTTTCCAACATAAATCAGCTGAAATGTGTACCTGTCTCATTTGGGATTCACACACATGCACATGCACACACACATACACGTTAAATAAATATGTGTGTACAATTAAGCAAATTACATCTTTAGAGTTTCATTTTAAATTATGCCACTGCAGGTTAATGACAGATAAGTAGTAAACAAAATGGTAATTAAGAACAATTTTAAGCATTAATCAGACATAAAATTTTATAACAATGATGAACAGGTTTTGGTGGATATTTAAAAGTCAACACATTTAGTGCTAAATGTATTTTTATGCATAAAGCACTTTATAATCTTGAAGATTTTGTTGAAAAAGATCCTATAACAAATATAGCCTGCACACATATGAATACTGTCCTTTTTTCCCCCAAGAACCTTTTCTATTCTTTTCTTTTATATTCTTACAATGGAAGCAAACAAAAGGTTAAGATTTCCCAGGTACAGTGGGATTCAAGCTCTGATCTCTTAACAATTGACTCAAAAATAATCTGTATGTTATATCAGCTATTCTTTGAACTCATCCAAACTGAAAATTTATTTATTTATTTATTTATTTATTTATAAAATTTGTATGCAGCCCTATCTCAAGGACTCAGGGCGGCTCACAACAACAATCGACCAAGCAACTGTTAAAAGCAACAAATATACACAAAAATATGAAAAGTTTAAAAAAATTTAAAATATACTACCCCATCAGTCCAGGCTGTGGGACATAAATAGCCAGGTTTTCAATTCACGGCGGAAGGTGCGAAGGTCAGGGGCCAACTGGAGCCCCAAGGGAAGTTGATTCCAAAGGGTGGGGGCGCTCACAGAGAAAGCTCTACCCCTGGGGGGTCGCCAGCCGACATTGTCTAGCCGACAGCACCCTGAGTAGGCCCTCTCTGTGACAGCGCACCAGGCGATGGGAAGTTGACGCTGGTTGCAGATGGTCCAACAAATAGCCTGGGTCTAAGCCATGAAGGGCTTTATAGGTTAACACCAGCACCTTGAATCTCACCCGGAGGGCAACCGGCAACCAATGCAAGCCACGCAGGAGAGGTGTAATATGGGAGTATCTGGTCCCTCCCGCAACAACCTGCGCGGCCACATTCTGTACCAGCTGAAGCCTCCGGGTGGTCTTCACGGGCAGCCCTAGGTAGAGAGCATTGCAGTAGTCGATCCAGGAGGTGACTAGCGCATGAGTGACTGTGTGTAGGGCATCTCGGTCCAAGTATGGTCGCAACTGGTGGACCAGGCGAACCTGGGCAAACACCCCCCCCGGTCACGGCCATGATATGACCCTCCAAACTCAGCCGTGAATCCAAGAGGACGCCCAGGTTGCACGCCCTGTCTACGGGGGGGGCAACACCTCGCCCCCAATAGACAGCGTTGGAACTTCTCGCTCGGCCCGAGATGCCGGTATCCACAGCCACTCAGTCTGTGGCTGTGGAAGTAAGTACAAGTAGTCCTCCAGTTATGACAGTTCACTTAGCAATGATTCAAATTTACAACACCGCCCCCAAAAGTACTTATGACAGTCCCGAAGTTATGAATGATGCAGCACTATTGTAGCTGTTCACCCTTAGAACCAATCGCACAGATACTGCAACAATCCCCCTGCCTATTCCCCCCCCCACAATCCCATCACTGATCGCTCACTTATATTTTGAAGATCTGAAGAGTCAGGGCCATGTGGCAGAAAAGTGGCTGTGTTCATACATACCCTTCTGTCCCCTTTGCAAAAGGCTTTTGGTGCAAAGAACCACAGGGGCACGATCTTCTGCTCCTTCAGGCCTCTGTCTTCCGCACCAAAAGCTTTTTGCAAAGGGGACAAAAACCTTTCGAGATGTAATCTCGTGCTCCTTCAGGCCTCCGATCCATTTGCAAAAGCTTTTGGCAAGGAAAACAGAGGCCTGAAGGTGCGCAAGATTGTACTCCTTCAGACTCACCGAGGCTGCCTGGTGTTCCAAAAGCGGATTGGGTGTCCTGCACAGGCAGCCTCAGTGAGTCAGCCAAGCTGAGCAGGGTTGGCTGGTCCCACTCTGTCACCGCTCCAATTTTGGAGCATTGGGAGTGGACAATTAAACCACAACAGAGTGTCTGAAGACGAGAAAGCTCACTTGATCATCCAGATCTCTGAAAGGTAAGTGAGTCTCCACAGGCCCAGTGCCTGTGGAGACCCAGTAGGGCAGGAGGGAGGGAGTGTAGTATGAGATATCTCAGTGGGTCAAAGGAGGCCTTGGGTAGTCAGAAGCACTAGCCCCTACCGTGGTTATCCCCTGCCTGAGATAACTCATGTGCACTTAATGACCTATGCATTTGATTAATGAATGCATTGGGTAAAGCAGGGAAGAGTCACATTCATTTAATGTGATTCAATTAATGAATCCTCAGGTTACGAATGTAATTGACAGGCTCTATTACTTTCTAGGATTACCTGTATTCTGTGAGGGAGATGGGCAGTTTTAAAATTTGATGAACAAATAAGTAAATAAATAAAAAATTAACAGGATTGATTAGACATAGGGAAGATTA